GGGTATTTTATTTGATTTAAAATTAATTTTTATATTAATTTTTGGTGTCAAATAAAATACACTTTGAACATTTAAGTGGAGAAGAATTTTACAAATCCTTCTCACATGATTTTTCGGCCATGATATCTTTTAAAGGAACAAAAATTTCCTTGATTGATAATTGTGTGAAGCTAACTATTTTGTCATTTTGTTAATGACAAAGTCAAATTAATAATCACTTTTTCTCCTTAAATATACTACACACCATTCCACTTATTTTGTGTAGTGTGTCATTCGACCATATCCTTTTAGAGAGAAGAAATATTAGTTTGGTTCCATTAATATCATTTTGTGTATAGAAAATATTTATAATATTTTCTAAATATTATTAGAAATATTTTCTATAGAAATATTCAAGATTATTATTATCCCAATTTTAATCTTTATATTTTATACTACTATAATCTTTACTAGCATAAAGATTGTGGTAGACTCTGGCGTTGTTCGTGTGTCAAAGTTGGAGACCGGACGCTTGAACGGTTACGTTTGCACTTTCAACGCTCTTTCTACAACTTTTTCGTTTTTACCGCTTACGGAGAAAGGTATAAATTTCTTACTCACTATAAGTTTTAGTACGTGATTCTGGGCAAGATAATCATGTTAGGATGTTAAAATTTTTAATTTCCGCTGCCTATCCTTGCATGGTTACCTTTCACTGGATTCACAGGTGTTGTTCGTAAAATCAACATTAATCGTTTCTTCAGAGTTGTCTCACTTTCGTACGTCCTTTCCATGCAGATCAGTTTCGTTATTCACGATGCGATGCGTACGTTGATAACGTATTAGTACTAAATGTCAACTTGAGTCTATGCTCGATACGATTTTAGTACTAACAAATGTTATCTAATGAGAATTCAATATAGTCAATATTTACTAAGTAAATTCTCATACCTTTCCTGGAGCAGAGGGATGCGAGAGCCGTGGATGTGACCAACATTTTTTTTATAAAACAAATTTTGATCCGAAGATCGGTTTTAAAACCATTTGCTCCGATACCAAATTGTAACACCCTAATCCGTCCAGGTTTGCAGCCCCATTCGGACTAAAGTATTTAACTTGGTAATCGTAAAAATTTAAAACTTTTCAAACACACTTTATTAATCCCAATAATGTTTTTCATAACATACACAATACAGAGTATTCAACAATATTACGGAAGCGAATTTAATTTTGACATATCTTAAATCATTTCAAACTTGTCACATCCATCCCGACAATCTTGCCCCATCTGCCGCAGGATCACATTAATCTTTCTGTTTACCTGCGTGTAGCAAATAAAACACACTACACGCTCAGCGGTGAAGCTAAGTAAGCATATCTAATGCGTCGAACATCCATATAAACTGAATCTAAATTCATAATCAAATCATTTGATATCATGCACACAATGTTCATTTCAGACATTCACAGTTTTGGTATTGTTCAGTTCATATCAACACATTTTATTCAATTCAGATACTATTTAAATAGTGTTCTTAAATTATTCTTAATCTAAGGCCAGATCATAACAACGCTCTTAGCTATTCTTAGTCTAAGGTCAGATCATAATAATGATCTTAGCTATTCTTAGTCTAAGGCCAAATCATAATAATGCTCTTAGCTATTCTTAGTCTAAGGCCAAATCATAACTTCCATAACCAGATTCTTTTAAGGCAACTATTAATCAGACACTTAAACTATCATTAGTTTAAGGCGATTGATTTTGGACACTTAACTGTGGTTAGTTAAGGCAATCAGACACTCAAACTATCATTAGTTTATGGCAAATGATTTAGACACTTAACTGTAGTCAGTTAAGGTACTAACATATAGCGATTGATCAACATTGGATCGGGCATTCCCAAACGAGTAATCCTTTAGTTTGGTCTACGAATCCCGTTTATACATTTTTATCTAATTATCAATATATTCATTTTACCCATGTTTCAATCATCAATAATTATTTTAATCTGTAAGTTCATCATTCATAATCATCCATAATTGTAACGCCCCAAAACATACCCTAGAATTATTAATGAATAAATAATCAATTAATCACAATTGTTTTGATTAAAATAAATTATTGTTGGGCTTTGGGCCGATGTGAAATTTGTTTTGACATCTAATATCAAAATCTGGATAAGTCTCATAGAGATAAATCCAATATGTGGACTATTTGTGTGGTCTTGATTAGGAACCTGAGTACAGACCCAAATCAAGAATAAATGAAGAAATTAATTATGATGTGAACATTAAAATGATTTATTGAAATAAATGATGAGAATAATTAATATGAATTAAATGTGAAAACCCTTTTTGAATAAAGGTCAAATAAACCAATTTTGACTCTGTCAAAGTCAAACACTCAAAAATATGATGTCGGAAAAAGTATTACAAATAATTATGAAAAGTATATCGTTGGATAGAGCTCGACTGTCTGATCACAACGGTGCAAATAGATTTCAATTTTGAGAAAGTTGGACCAAAAAGTGTACCCCGACTGGAACCAAAATAGGTCCCAATCAGGGAACTGTTTAGATGGCGCCTCCTTCCCCACTACGCCGATCGCAGAATTGTGGAGTCACCATAGTTGTTTTCTTCTTCTCTCCTTCTCATTATATAAGAGAACCCAACCTTCTCATTTCTTCACCATTCTTCTTCATTCTTCTTCCTAAATGTTCATGAAAGTGTGAGGAGTGTTGTGGTGCTGTCAATTTGGTGTGAAGTCGCTGGAGTTAGGAGAAATACTCGCCGGATGTTTCGCCGGAAAATTTCCAAAACCTCCATTAAGCTTCGAAGTAAGCCCGTAGATATATCTAGTGACTAGAATGTTCATATAGATCGATTTTACGTTCATAAACGTTCATTTGGTTGAGTTTTGTGTTTGACATGTTTGAAGAACTAAGAATCGTAAACCATGATTTTGATGTTAAAACTATGAATTAATGATGCCAAAATGATCTATGAACCTTGGAGAACACTTTTATATACTTTAATTGAAGTTTGGTGAGTAAAA